GTATTTACTGTACATTTCAAAACCTGAAATTCTCGAGCTACATTCCTAACCCCTACTGTAGGACTTTCAAAGACAGCATCTAAAACCTTTTTATTTATCTTCAGCTGTACGAACAGTTCTGGGAGCTCCACTATGTTGGCCCATATTTTGAGCAAAACTACCTGAAATCCAAATGGTTTACTACTTTACTATCAACTTAAAATTATTCATTAAGTTTAAAGCAATATTATGAAAAGCATTAGAAACCATAGCAATCCTACTCAGATATTATCCAAAGCAATTTGAATATTATGTTATAAAAATGTTTTATCATCGTGGTACAAATAATGCATTGAAACTTTCAAAAACAAATATCTCGAAAACTCTTAGCTTTAGACATTTCTAACAAGTAAAACTTTTTCGTTGTGGGAATAAGATTTTTTGATCAGTTGTTGTATCCAGGGTAGCACAAAAAAGTTATGATAAGTTATTTACCGAAATAGTGCTGTAAATGGCGCCCTCTAGAAGTTTGGTCATAAAAAATAACGGATTCTTGTTTCTCATACTAGAAAACGTCCCTATACCGAGTTTTATGCTAAAATCTGAAGCAATAAGGAAAAATAAAAAATAAAATTGTAACTTCGATACCCTGTATCCCGCAAACTTTTGGACTTAGGTATGGTTAGGTTAATTCACATATTTTGGTCTGTAGTATCTCCAGTTTCAAGATTTCCCAGTAAATGAAGAAACAGCTGACATACGCTTATAGATGACGCTATGGTATCTCGTACCCCAGGCGGTTCTGGAATTTGACGGGTCTACGCGGTGACATTTTAAAATTCTAATAGTGGTTTTGGGCGATCTCGGCATGTTGCAGGACCGTTGAGGTGTTGTTGGGTTAAAGTAGCGGCAAAGATAAGTGTATCGCCATTTGGAACACAGATAAATATTAAATATGTCCACACTCAGGCCTGAATATGTCGCTTCACTTAACGACCAGAACACAAGGAGAAATTATTCCTCCTTATGCCCTAGATAGATGAATAACTGATTATTTTTCACGAAGGTATTTTGTGTTTGCCAAATGATTTACGAACTTACTTTATTCGCTATTGAGATAAGATAATGATAACAGTACAGTGCGGTCAGCCGGTTGATGGAGATTGATTTCTACAGAGCTTCAAAATAAATATTTTCAAATAGAAACCGCTTAATCTTCAGCTTGATCTCATCAAAGATAAGGATAATTCTGTGTAATATTATATATTTCGCAAGTCATTAATTCCCGATGTATATGAAAATTTGCGTTTTTTTTTCTACTATAAAGATGCTCCACAGAGATTTTACGAACAGTTGGCTATGGTGCGATGAAGAACAATTCTTTGGCAGGTTGCCCCTTTCCCTGCCATGGCCAACTATCAGTCATTGATCATAAAAGCCATCTGGCAACTAAAAAAGCGATTATATCGACGGTTTTATAGAGGCTTCCAGAAAAAAGTGCGCCCTGAAAAGGCCCCTTACCGAGAGTGAAGTTATGATTTCGAAATCGGAAAAATCAAATCTTCGGGGTTAATTACGATATGGACTTCAAATTTTGTTTGAATAGTATTGACATTAAGGTACATTCGGCTAATATAGCCCAGGCATAAATAAGGCCCACTGCTCATATATTTTTCTGTAGTGATATCTGTTGATGCATAGATTCATTATTTTAAAGTTCAGTCATGTCGGTAAATCAGGTTTAATGTATAGTTCAGAATTCCGCGCTCTTTCTGCACGTAAGCCGCTTCTGTTCTTTAGGAGTTGATACATTATTATTTTGGTGATTGTTGAAAGTGAAATATTGCAGGGTATAATACAGTTAAAGGTAAGTGATTACATTCAATAGAAACAGTAGTCCTTAACCTTCGTAAAACTTGTGAGTTTGCCAAAGTATCTTTATAGGTTACATAAATCTAACCTAAAATATGAATTTTGTACATAGGCAGAAATACGGCCCAGCCAGTGGGCCAAATTGCTGCATGGCGGTGGGCCATATTTTTGACCATTTCATCCTTCTATCCTAATTCAGCTTTTTGTTTTTCAGGTCGAAAATGGGGAAACTATGTAGGGAAGTTTGAGGAAATTGGACTCAAGATATGATGTCGGAGGCACTACAACTTCTAAGGAGCGGTAAAAGCCAACGATACGTGGAGCAAAAATACGGAATTCCTAGAACTACGTTACGGAATCATATAAAATCTGGTCTTAGCGATAGAATGTTAGGTCGTAAACCTTTACTTACCTTCGAACAAGAGGGAGAGTTGGAAGCTCGCATTTTAAAGCTCTCTCGTTTAGGACTACCACTCACTCCAAAATCCGTGCGAAGAAGTGTCTGCCAGTTTTGTATAACCAACAATATTTCACATGAATTCAATAGCTGAAAAGAGATGGCTGGGTTTACGTGGTATAAAAGTTTTTTGAGGCGGCATCCTTAAATATCGAAGAGGAAAGCCCAATCCATGAATGCTGTGAGGGCTCAAAAATTAAATCCCGTTATTGTGAGAGACCACTTTGATAAATTGTTGAAAGTCCTTAACGAATTAAACATTCGAAACTCACCACAACGGATATATAATCTTGATCAAAAAGGGTGCCGCCTAACTTTACATCATTCTCAGTTAGTCTTGGCATCCAAAGGGAAACGCAGGGTCCACAATATCTGCAATGAACATGCAGAGAATGCAACAATTGCTGCTTGTGTTAACGCTCTTGGGCAAGCTGTGCCCCCTATGTTAATATTCGAAGGCTTGCGGAAAAAGGACAGCGACAATTTGCCTCCTGGGTCGATACTTGAAATGTCTCCTAAAGGCAGCATGACACGAGAAATATTTCTTAAATGGTTGCAGTATAAACCTGCTGGTAAGGTTCTTCTGATTTTGGATGGTGCCTCCTGCCATTTAGATATCTCAATCTTGGAAGCGGCTGAACAACATGACATTTCACTTTACTGTTTTTACCGTCAAATACGACGCATAAACTACAACCGCTGGATAAGGCGGTTTTCCGTTTCGAGCATTATTGGGACATTGAGTTGATGAAATACTGGGAGAGTAATCCTGCTGCAATGAGAGTATTAAAAAAGGACATAGTGTTGGACTTGTTTTTACCAAAGTTTGGCAACAAGCAATGACAATACGCAACATTAAAAGTGGTTTCTTGACACATAAAGACTTTCCTGAAGTGATGGATGCTGAACCGGAAAGTTATAATAGCTCAGATGACGATCTGCCACTTGCATATTTCCTTAAGAATAATAATCTATCAACAAGAATGAAAATAGAGGAAAAATCGAGTGCTGGTTGTTCTCACTGGACTGATCAACAAGCGTCTGCTATTACATCTGATACGAATAAAAAAATTAATATTTTAAATGTAACTATTATCAAGACTAAAATGCAGGACTCCATAAATAAAGGAGCAAAATGTTCAGCACTTGAGAAAAATTTGAATTTCTCAGATATCCTCAAAACGCCTGATATGGGAACAGTGAAATCAAGACCAAAAAGGAAGGCATTAAATTATAAAGCGCAGCTGTTAAAAAGAGAGATATTTACCGAACACTCATCTCAAGCAAACTCAACGAAGTCGTCAAAAAGCCAATCAAAGCCGAAAGAAAATTGGATATGTGGTGTGTGCAATGAGCATTCTGTAAGGGATATGCGACAGTGCGCCAGTTGCCTATTGTGGATCCACGAAATATGCCTTGGATTGACTGCCGAGGACACAGAAGTGTTATATTGTCCTAATTGTTCGTCTGAATAATTAAGTCAATTTAGGGCCATATTTCTGACTACGCTTCGGTACTTGGGCCATATTTCAGTGAAAGTCAGAAATATGGCCCAAATAACACATTTTTGTTTTTGCTATGTTTTTCCCATGTTTCTGATTTTTTTGATGTTTTTGGATACAATTTTATTTCCTTTATAGTTCTTCTACACGTTGCGAATAAAAATATTTTTTTTAGTTGTTGGCATTTATTTTTTTATTGCTGTCGGACTGAAACTAGGCCATATTACCCGACTGTACCTTGTAATCAAGAAATACAAAAATGTTCGTGCCTATCAGGGACATAGAAATATAGAAATTTTGGCACTTTCAGAAGAAATAAGTATATTATCTTCAGTTTTACATGCATCTCCTGTCTTGAATGAATACTCATTTTGGAGGAAAACTTGTTTGAATATTTGAGGTAAAATTAGTATAAATAACTCCAATGTTCATGTTTTATACTTATTTAGTCCTCTAATGTATCTTGGTAATGGAACATTTTAGGCCCTATGTTTATAAGAACCTTTTTTGTTATATTTGGATGTACCTTTTAAACTTCAAAAAACATGTTGCTGCTTTTCTATAATGCCCTATATAATATGACGGAAGCTAAAACTAATTCTAGTCTGAAATAAATCGATATACAATTATAATGAGACTTCAACGTCTATTTCCAATGTGATCGCAGAGGAGCAACACAGAGATTTTGCTTATGTTTTGTGTCTTGCAGTGTTTTATTATAAATTTGAAGGAGCAATTTTGTACAAATATGCCAAAATTACGGCATTTAAAAAACAATCAAACCTCTACTAAAATGGAAAAATATTGACGAAAGGTTAAAATAAGTATGTTCTTAAATGTTTGAATGCACAAAAATTTTATAGACGTCATCAACTTGAAAATTTCAGGGCGGTAAACTCCGCCTGTACACTTTGGCACTTTGCTTAGAATCATCCATTCAATGAAAAAATTAAATAATGACGAGTAAAAATTAAAACATTCTAAATATACTCCAGAAGTAGCATTTTCAAAATACTGATTCTACCTTTTGAGTTATTGATTCTGTTTCGTTTTGACACTTGTAACCTTTTTACTTTTTAAAGTCTAATCCGAAGAGGTATCAAATAAATATATTTGAATATCATGTGAGAGATGAGCCTACATAAAAAACAAGAAGACTGCAAATTTTGAAATATAGTATTTCATTCCAGGTATCGGTGACAGGAGCGTACGACAACAAAGCATTCAAAGGCGATGGCACTGTGGGCGGCGGAGGGGGCGACGGCCCGATCAAACCGCCCCGCGAAATTTCCGACGAGGAAGCCTTCCAACAGGGCAAGTTCAAAATGTCCACCAAAGAGAAATGGAGGATACTCAAGAACGTATCCGCCATCTCATGTGCCTTCATGATACAGTTCACAGCCTTCCAGGTACATTTTATGAAAATTTTGTAGATATTTTATATAAGCAGAAGGCGAGGCATATAGTCTTTCTGTTTACAAAAAAAATTAATCCATTGTGTATGGTCACTATGGAAATCAATTAGATGATCCACTTGGTACATATATATACGTATATATATATATATATATATACAGGGTGTTTCAGTTTATTGTTGCATAACTTTAAGATTCGATAGAACTTTTAAGATTAATGCATAAAGTCTATATAAACATGGGTCGGAAAATGCGTGGCTTCCGAAATACAGGGTGTTTAAATTTACTTTTTAAAATAGTTTTTTTAAATATTTCGAACAGTATTTGATGTATAACAGTGAAAATTGGTATACAAGGGTTTTTGGTACGACAAAACGAACGATGGGCATAGGTTTTACTGTAGCCGCTAGAGGGCGCTCTCTACTGTACCTGTAGTGTATTAAAATGACCGAAAAATTTTTCTTAGTGAAATTTTTTGGATTTTGAATAAAAAAACTGATTCTTCACACTTTTCTGCATAAAAAAGCTCTCCTGTGAGTTTTCATTATAGTTAGCCGTTTTTGAGATATTTCGATTTTTAAGGTTCGATGCATTTTTAATTATTTATGGGAAAATAATATTTTTTTACATTTCCGATTTGAGCATTACAAATAATTAAGATGATCGTTTAGATTGTGTTTTTAAACACAGCAATAATTCCTAACTCCAAATAAACACAAAAAACAGAATATTAATTTGTTTAATTTTCCAGTATTATTTTTAACAAATTAAATTAATTATTTACAACTAAAATGCTGTTGGATAGTTAGGACAAACATACAAAATCTAAAGTAGTTGCTCGAAATGTAAACCCAATTGTTTAATACACAATTCACATCTACGAATGATCGCACGTGGTATAGCATTATTCAAATAAGGCCTTATTTCATCACACGCATTCCTGATTCTGTCTATTAGCACATCTCTTGTGGTTACGGGAGTCTGGTACACTTTTTCTTTTAGAAATCCCCACACAAAGAAATCTAACGGATTTAGATCAGGGGATCGTGGAGGCCAGGCGACTGGTCCTCCACGGCCGATCCATCTTTCTGGATAATTTTCATCCAGCCAGTTTCTAACTATTCTCGAATAATGAGCTGGACAACCATCAAGCTGGAATCCGGCATTTAACCTTGCAGGCAAAAGGTAGGCTCCAAATAGTCGATTACGGTAGATACCAATCCACACGTTCACACTAAATTCATGCTGAAAATTTCTTTCCCGAACTGCATGCGGATTTTCATGCGACCAAATATGTTGATTATGAAAATTTACCACTCCACGTCTAGTGAAGCATGACTCATCGGTCCATAAAACGTTACTTAAAAACTCCCTATTATTATCAGTTCTATCAAGAATCCACTGACAAAATGTGATTCTTCGTTCTCCGTCCCCTGGCTGTAGTCCTTGCACAGGTTGCAAATGGTAAGGACGTCTATGGCCATTTCTAAGAACACGGTGAACATGGCTTGCTGAAATTCCCAAGGCACCAGAAACTCTCCTAACACTTGTGGTCGGATCTCTATCAAACTCACGCAGAATCATACGGGTAAATCTGCGCTGACGAACATTTATGTTTTGATCCCTTTGGAGATTTCCAAAACCATTTTCAATTATATGGCGATGCACTCTTACAAATACTGAGCGAGTTGGATGTCGTCTGTTTGGAAATCTTCGTGCGTATTCTCTGGCTGCTTCTGCTGCGTTTCCATTTACAAAGCCATACACAAAATTAATATCCGCTAACTCTTGATTGGCGAATAAAAATGGCATTTTTATAAAACAGGTAAAAGAAACTAAATTTCGTGCATTCACAATTGCAAAAAAACGTTTCAGGTTTCAACAGGCAACAAAACTAACTGTCAACTAATTGACGTTTAACCTTATTCTGCTTTCAATTTCAAAAATATTTGCAGGCACTTCTACTTCTAAAAATTATCGAGATACTGACTTTTTAACGTTATTCTATCATAGTGAATTAAAAATGCATCGAACCTTAAAAATCGAACTATCTCAAAAACGGCTAACTATAACGAACATTCACAAGAGAGCTTTTTTATGTTGAAAAGTGCGAAGAATCAGTTTTTTTATTCAAAAAGCAAAGAATTTGCACTAAGAAAATTTTTTAGGTCATTTTAATACACTATAGGTACAGTAGAGAGCGCCCTCTAGCGGCTACAGTAAAACTTTGGTTCGTTTTGTCGTACCAAAAAACCCTTGTACACCAATTTTCACTGTTATACATCAAATATTGTTCGAAATATTTAAAAAAAACTATTTTAGAAAGTAAATTTAAACACCCTGTATTTCGGAAGCCACGCATTTTTCGACCCATGTTTATATAGACTTTATGCATGAATTTTAAAAGTTCTATCGAATCTTAAAGTTATGCAACAATAAACTGAAGCACCCTGTATGTATATATATAACAAAAATAGGAAAATAATGGGCATTTTCCTATTTTTTTTATACACCTTTCTCCGCATGATAATTTTCTCTTTATATATATACCTACCTACGTAGGCTGTTACTAAAGTGATTCAGCCCATAATTGCCAATCCAATGTTGATAAGGTTTTTATGTTTTTATAACAATACAACCAAAATTATAAAATCTGAAATTTCAGTGGGTTGTATTAATTAAAACCGCTTGAAGGAGTTATAAAAGTTCTAGGAAATATTTCAGATATTTTTTTTCATTTATTCTCTTGATGCAAATAACCGGTGTCATAAAGCAGTGGCGCGTCCTGAATGCATTCACTACTCCGATAATTTTACTGTATGACGATATTTAACAAAATCTTTTTAAGTGTAGTTATTCATTATAAACGAGCTAATCTACCCAGTAAACAAAATCACTTACTATGCATGTCATAAAAATATCCTCTAATAGCAACATCACATTACGAGCACGTTCCAAAATAACAATTGCACATAAATACATTGTACATATTACATATTACAAACCCCTACTAGAAGCAGATCTCACATATTCCAAGAACGCGGTGCAGCACGTTCTAAGAATATTCACATTAGGTGATTTGGTAAGGCTGCATGTTTCCACACCTAAGCAAATCAGTCGGTTGCCTTCCCTAACAAGTAAATTAATGATGACGGATCCCTCGAGTACTAAGAATTCCGGACGTAATCTCACTCCACTCTCGGAATGCCCGTGTGAAAGGTGGACTCGAGGGAACATTATCTATGATGAAATTTGTTTCACGAACATTTGCGGAACTGACAGCAACATTGATGCTGTTCATCACCACCTGCAATCTAATTGTCCTACCATGCTTCTCTTGGCGGAGCCAATAATGCCAGAGTATGTACTCTACTGTAATAATCTTAGCTTCACAAATTACCAGGAGCACTTCAATCTGAGAAAAAATGGGGGAGTTGTGGCCTTTGTCCGCAGCAGTCTTTCCTGCTCCAGAGACGTTTCTTTGGCATCAGTCCGGAAGGACATTCTGTGGCGTTACCTGCTAGATCTCTTTCTGACCACGCATCCTGTCTCATACAGCACTGCTGCCCTCTCTCCGCTGGGTAGCTCAGGGCACGGTATTGTGGAGGTTAGATTTCTGTCAGAACCTGCTATGGCAGCAGAAACATGCCCAGACCGTAAAATTTGGTATTACGGACATGCCGGGGCTTAGAGAGTTTCTCTCCACACTTCGCTCACATGGATGCGTCGGCTGTCTGTTCATTGATAACAGAAATTATCGTCGTTGGGATGGAGAAATATATCCCTCATACAGTGAAAGTGTCTAAGGCAGGATCCAACGGCTGGTTCAACAAATCGTGCGGCACTGCTCGACGACAGAAGATCAAGGCACACAGAACCTTCCTACAAAACCCTACTGTAGAGAACAGACAAGACGACGTCGAGTCCAGAAACCGATATAACGAAGCGGTCCGCGATACCAAGACCAGCACTATTTAAAAGTTAGCACAGAATAACGTCACGTCTTGATTAGCGACTGGCAGCATGGTTTCTGGTACCACGGATTTTGGAGTAAACTCATCCAGTCTTACAGTGAGTCTTATGTCGTTGCTCTTAATATCACGAAAGCGTTTCATCAGATGTGGCAAGCTGCCCTCTTATACAAACTTCCATCCTATGGCTTCCTAGAGAAGCTTTGCAGATGGGTGGCACCCCACAACGTAAACGCTCGATTCTGTCCAGAGGACGGCTATCCGACTCATCAATGACTCTTCTGTAACAGACAGTCTCTGAACCCTTTCGCTCCGGCAACCCTTTAGCACCGGCAGTCCGTCGAGCTCTCATCTACCGCTATACTAACGGGTGTTGCTGTTTAGAGCTCTGCTCCATGATGCCCTCGCACGATGTGCCTGCCAGACATACCCGATGAACTTCGGCCTCCCATTCTAACCGCGACGAACTTTGTAAATCCAGAACTGGCCGATACGGCCTCTCCTTTGTCACGAGGGTGTCGAGATTGTGGAACAATCGATAAAAGGAGGTTTTTCCCAGTTCTACCAACCTTAGCCAGTTTAAAAATCGGATTAACAAAATTTCATTAGGATCCTCACAGCCGCCGCGGTGTCCTGGCAATTAGGGTCTTTATCGTCAGTCATTTCTACAATTGTAGGACGCCTTTATGGTCTTCTTGATTTTCTTAGTCCTATCTTTCGGAAAGGCTAAATTTATTTATTCCGTGCCAATGTTCTATTTTGAGATTATGTTACAAATATCTATTTGCATCAAATTGTTCATGTTTGTGATTTATACCATCTGTTTTATCAGCCTCAAATTTCCTACAATTCAAAAAAAGGATAACCTTACAATAGGAGAGCGCTGACTCTGACACGGAACAGTAGAAATCTTGAAATAACCCAGCCTTTCTGAAGGAGAAAAAAGAGACTCTTCCGTGTCAGCGCTCTGTTTAGACGTTATGTTACAAATATCCATTTGTATCAAATTGTTCATACTTTTGATTTATATCATATAACAGATTATATAGCCTGAAATTTCTTACAATTCAAGAAGAAAACAGCTTGGCAATAGGAGAGCGTTGACGCTAACACGAAACAGTAGAAATCTATAAATATTCAGTATTTCTCAAGGAAAGGAAAGGCTAGTTTTCTACTGTTCCTTGACAGCGTTCTGTTTTGAGGTTATGTTACAAGTACCTATTCACATCAAATTGTTCATGCTTTTGATTTATATCATGTGCTATATAGCCTGAAATTTCCTACAATTCAAGAAGTAAACGTAGCCTGAAATTAGGAGAGCGTCAAGTCCAATCTCCAAACGAAGAAGGATAATTGAAAACAGAACAAAGCAAGTTAACCATTAACTGTAATAAAATTTTTATATCGTATATATGTATGCATCTAAAGTCAAGTTTCCCTTCTATCGTATTCTATTCGTCTGTCCTTGTTTTTCTTGCCCTATTCGTATACTTCCTGCATCTCTCCATCATGTACAGCTGCAGATGCCAATATTTTATCACTATAGATAAAACTTCCTATTAGGCAATGTTTTTGGATGTTAGGACCTTGTAAACACCTCACCCATTTGACACAATAATGTTTATTATTCAGATGAATTGAGGTGAAATATTCTCACAAAACCTACCTTTTTACACAAAAAAACTGTCAAATAATGTACCAGTTAGAGATATACACGATGCACGCTATGTTACATATCCACAGACATGGAATAAAGCAGGATGGAAGCTGGTAGGGGTTGGCTTGCCATTATGTCATTGGTCGCTCGAACACATGCTCATGCGCATTAGGCCGCCGAAAAACCCCTGGTGGATTCTGATGAAGTGAGCTTAATATGTTCCAGTAATACCGCTTTTTATTACCTAGTCGAATGTTACTATCATGTGACAAGATTTTTTATCGCCATGTCTTGAAAATGAATATTCTTTGCAAAAATTCGTCAGGAGAATATGCATTATAGAGATTTGAACAGTGTACTGACAGAATACTTTATTAGGAATTAAAAAGTACATTGCAAGAATGTAAATACATACATATACCTGTTCGTCTTTACTGGGTACCTGACGCAACGTGTTTACTTCCCATGCCAATTGACAAGAAACTATTTACACCGTTACATAAAGGATATTTCGCGAAAAACTATTCCTGTTATTTCTGTCAGTATGTGTGTGTGCCTTTCTGCCGTCTATTCACTAAAATCAATTCGATAACTCGGAAAGTGCTTCTCGGATTCTGCCAAACTTTTGATGCAAGGCTTTTATTGAGTGAGTCAATCATGATGCTCCACTGCGACTCACTGGTCAAATGTGGCTTAATACAAGATAACCATACCAAAATGTTTCCAAAACTCAGTTACTCGATGTTTTTTAGTTTCTGATTATTATTTGATGTCGTGAATCGTTTTGTAGAGGGTGTCAGAAAAAACAATCAGACTTGATTTTGTGATGTTCCAAAACTTTTGTGTCACACTAAAGTGTATTAAAAATGTTTAGGGGATTCAACAATTTTGAACTAATATTTTACTTATCATTAATAACGCTTATTATTTTTTTTTTTGTTTCAGGGCACAGCCAACCTTCAAAGTAGTATAAATGCCAAAGACGGTCTTGGCACGGTTTCGTTGAGTGCCATCTACGCAGCCCTGGTGCTCAGTTGTATATTCGTACCTACGTTCCTTATCAAAAAGCTCACCGTCAAATGGACGTTATGCATATCGCTGATGTGCTATGCACCCTATATTGGGGCGCAATTTTACCCAAAGTTCTACACGCTGGTAAGTTTTTTCTTATCTTATAGTTGCTTTCTTCCTAAAATCTCTGTTTGTAGATGTATTAACAAAAACATTCGCTGCATGCATACCTTTATTATGAATAGAATTATTACAAATATGTATCTTTTAAATAAATATCGCTCGAATACAGATAATGTGAAAGCTTTAGCAGAAAACAGTGCTTTATATCTACAAACTACATTATACGGCAATTCAATACACACGTTGATTACTTGTTGAAAATGTATCTATTTCTTTCAAAATTATCTCTCCCAGGTAAGTGATGACACTGTTATTTTCAATAAAAAGATTTGGTTTATGTTTCGAGTATGGCGCAGATCCTTCTTTTTTATTTGACTGGTGAATCTTGTGCGCATATCTGCAAACTCTGTGTATGGGACAAATGGTAAAATAGGTTCTTGTAGCTAAACATGGTAACTCGTAAAGTACTTCTAGATTTGATATGGGAACTAGGGGTCCTTCTTACACAAATCGTATATTTTTTCTTTAGTTTGAGATATATTTCACAGGATCGACCATTACTTCAAAAACGCTTCCTAAGTGGTCGGGTATGCGCTCTTGGCGTTCAAAAAATAATGACAACAAATTACAAGATTTTAATATGTTAGTAAAAATTGAGTGAAATGTACTTGATTTTGTAGACAGTCTTAAGTATTTAGGTATTATTACAGACCAACAACTAACAATCAGCAAACACATGGACTATATGTGTCGGAAATTAGGCAAAATGATTGGGTATTTTCGTATAATTTGTGACAATCTAAGTCTGTGGTACAGAAGGGTCTCTTCCTCATTTTAGGTATACCACCATACACGATATGCTAAAGGCATTTAATTTTTCAAACATACACCAAATCATTCAAGAGGCAAATTCGATTCTTTTATATAAAATAATAAATAAAATTTCCATATACAAAGATTTAAATCTAGATAAGTCAGTGTTTTTGAAGGTCTAAATATGTGCAACAATCTGCCTGTTAATGTAAAAACATCCTAGCAATGCTAGAATTTGGAAAATGACTTCGGGAGAGACTATTTTGGTTTAATGTAATTTTAACACAATTTTTGTAAATAGTATTTATTACTGTTTGAAGTGCTTGAAGCTAAATAAAACCTTTCTATTCTATTCTGTTAATCTATGGCTCAACAGTAAGGCCGCCGCGCTAGACCGTCTACTCATAGTGGTCACATTAACCGTGCCAAAACCTGTCCACGAGAGACTTGAACCTACAAAAATACAAAATATATGGATACATCAGAGTATCTGGAAAAATCGGTTTCCGAGAGGAATAAACGTGTCCGTAACTATGACCTTCAAGGTCATTTGGAGGTCAGGAATTGTTTTTTGAAGGGAAGCCCTGTTTTTTACACCGGAGATGTAGAGAGAAAATTTAACGTTCAACCCCGCCCATGACCTTTGAGGTCATTTTAGGGTGTCCAAAAGGCATGGAGAGAACAAATTGTCTTGAAAAATATGCTCCCTAGGAAATAATGTTTCACGAGACCTTGAGCGTGACTTTGACCACAATCTTAAAGGTTTTTATCGTAACGGTGGAGTACATGATAGTAGTGTTGACCCTAAAATCTTGTATTTTTCTTTATCCCCGTCAAAATGTAAGGAGCTTACTTGAAAGTTCGTCTGACCTTGGAGGTCATGGTCAGGTTCATCGGCAAGGATATACTTCAGCATAAAATCTCCGAAATTTGCTTTTCAGAAATCAAAAATAGATGCTTCAAGTTGAAAATTCATTATATTGGATGGTCATAATCAAGGTCGTGGACATACTTGAAACTAAAGCTTTCTGCTCTTTATACTTGCGGTGTCAGAAAAAATGGTTTTCATTTAAGAAGATTGTCTGGACCTTCAAATGATCTTGAAGTTTATATATATTAGATGACCCCTTTCAAACCTTACAGCTCTGTTCTACAACAATTTTTCTAGAAAACGCATTTTTTGAGATATCCTTGGACACCTAGTGTCATCATCTATATAAGTTACACATTGATCCAAATATTAATGCCAATCATTCTGTCTTTTCAAAGGTACCCGCTGGCGTAGTTCTGGGCATAGGCGCAGCGCCTATGTGGGCGTCCAAGGCAACATACCTCACTCAAGTTGCAGGCGTATATGCTAAGCTGACAGATCAAGCTGTGGATGGAATCATCGTAAGATTCTTCGGATTCTTCTTTCTCGCCTGGCAGACGGCAGAATTGTGGGGAAACCTTGTCTCATCCTTAGGTAAGTTATAATCAGTACTACCCTTGAAATGTACATGCCTGCTTTCCGTCTCTGTAACCACGACCTACCGCAGACAGCAATGTTTCATGCTTATTAGCAACTCATCAGTGCGGTGTAGGTCCAGCAATCTAGGAGATAGATGGAGGGAAAGCAAACAAGAATCTAAGGATCCCATATGACTAAACATGACGGAAGCCCATACGCTCCCGGATCATAACTGCCGACGAGTCTCAGAGCACACCAACAATGGTGTTCTGTGCATAACTAGACACTACCTCCGCATAGTATTTAGAGTTTTTCAATCGACCATACCCACTTGTTTGCTTCCCGTTCGTCTGTCTCCTTGTCTACTAGACCTATACCGCACTGATGAGCTGATAATGAGCAAGAATCAGCGCTGACAGCGGTTGGTCGTGATTTCAGACTTGTCCATTTCAATCATGCCTGTTTATACATATACCATACGAGTATGTATAGAAAGTCATTCTTGCTCAGGCCTGTAAATACTTCTTACTGCTAGATAGGTTGTTTTGGTGGTGTGATATTTATCTGTGCATTGCGCAGAACGTCGAGCAGTTATGAATCGATAGCTTAGTCATCTATCATCTTATGGGGTGAGGATGAAGAACAACTTGGAATAACATTGGTACAGTGGAGATCGTTAGATATTTCGCCTACCTCGAAAAAGTACTATCCTCATTAGCCATTTATAAAGGGTGTCTGCGAAAGGTTGGGAAATCTCGAAACTGGAGGTACTTCAGGCCAAAATATATGAATTGATCTAAACATTCCTCAGTCCAAAAGTTGATAGTTTGCGAGATAAAGGGTGTCAAAGCTAAAATAGTATTTTCTATTTTTCCTTATTGCTTGAGAAGTATTTTGGCATTAAACTCGGTATAGGGAGGTCTTCTAGTATAATATGGCAAAAGAACTAATAAACGGAAATAATAGCAGAACTACAAAAATTGTTCAAAATGAGCATCACCTTGCCTAACACTGTCGAGCTCGACGAACTAAACCTTGCGGCACTCTACAAAGTATTTGGATGTTATTTTTCATTTCATGGCTATGGTGGAAAATTCTTTGTCGAAGATCATCTACAGTTTCCGCTGGCGTATTGTAAACGGGTCGTTTTAAATCACCCCAGAAGAAGAATTCCATAGGATTTAAATCTGGTGATCTAGCCGGCCACGATACAGGTCCTGATCAGCCTATCTAGTGGTCTGGATAAACTCTATTTAGGTGGTCTCTAACTAATATACTAAAATGAGGTGGAGCACTGTCGTGCATAAACCACGTATTCATGCGTGTTTGTAATGAAAGATCTTCCAGCAGAGTGGGTAACTGTTCTTCACGAAATTGTAAATACCTTTGGCCATTTAGTGTAGGTGATAACTCAACGGGTCCTATTGAATATTATCCGATTATTTCTGCCCATAGATTAATTTAAAGTTGTACTTGGTGGCGGGTTTGTATAATGGCATGAGGATTTTTGTCCGCATAAATGTGAGGATTATGCGAGTTTACTGTAGGATTTTCAAAGACAGCATTTAATACATTTCCTTCAGCTTCAACTGTTCGTACAGTTCTGGGAGCTCCACTATGTCGGTCCATATTTTGAGCAAAACTACCTGAAATCCAAATGTTTTTCTTTACTCAAAATAAGGCTATAATCATTTCTTACCAGTTTCTAGTAACCGCTGATCGATTCGCAGGAAAGTATTTGAATTTGCCAGCGTACAATCTTCGTGCTTTTAAAGCATTACATCATGCCAATCCGTCCATGATGTTTAATAACTTATTGTCAACTTAAAATTATTCATGAAGCTTAAAGCAATATTATGACAAGCATTAGAAACCAAAGCGACGCTACTCAGATATTATACAAAGCAAAAAAAAATGTTTTATCATCGTGGTACGAATAATGCATGGAACCTTTAAAAACAAATATCTCGAAAACTATTAGCTGTAGATACTTCGTACAAGTAAACCTTTTTTGTTGTGAAAATCCGAGAAAATAACATTTTTTGGTCATTTGTTGTATACAGGGTAGCAAAAAAAAGGTTATTATAAGTTATTTACCGAAATAGCGCTGTAAGTGGCGCCCTCTAGAAGTTTGGCCATAAAAATTAACGAATTTTTGTTTGCCATACTAGAAAACATCCCTATTCCAAGTTTCATGTCAAAATCGGAAATACTTCTCAAGCAATAAGGAAAAACAGAAAATAAAATTGTAACTTTGACACCCTGTATGTCGCAAACTATCAACTTTTGGACTAAGGTATGTTTAGGTCAATTTACATATTTTGGTCCCCCTGTATATCTTTTCAATGTTAAAATGTCGGCGCTGCTTAACGGACTATATTTTACAGCATCATCTAGCTGCAATATAAAAGCGAGGAATATAAAGGCAGTTTTTTTAGTGTAGCCTCGCTACACAGGCTAGTGATGTTTGACATTTGCAACATATTTTCTTATTATTCATATTGCTCTTATTCATTCAACCAACAGAGGGCAAACTGAGTACAGCTGTTTCATGCTTATTGGCAATCATCAGCCCAGTCTAGGCTTGGCCTCTACGTTTGTTGTCCTATCTCTATACGAAACCTACACCGTGGTGGTGATTGCCAATAAGCATGAATCTGCTGTACACGTTTGGCCGTATGTTGGTTTGACTGACGATAGAAGTGTGATTAGTTTTCAACGAAGAGTAAACTATCACCTACCTTATGCCCAGAATTGACGGCATCAAGAGGTCAGGGTAGGGGATTCGGCTTTCGAGGCGACGTAGTAGTACCTTTGTAGTTCCAACCAACGAACTTGAATAGATTAGAAGGAGCCAAGTCTATATGTTTACATTGCATTGTTTGTCGCCAAATTTGCGTCGTTTTAGTGCATACTCTTGCCTACCAGAATGAGAACGTAGTATCAACATTATACCAATACTTACCGATGAAAAGATCTACCTTACCTTAAGTTTGTTTTGCTCTTTGCACATTATGCAAGAAGTGTCATGGTCTGAAATTGTCTCATACCACAATTATTTGCACTCCAAAAATAAAATTAAAGTACGAATTTATTGTCAGAACTGTTCAAAAATTAACTCTTGTCTCGTCCACAAACAATAACTGCCAGAGCATAATCTGTTATATATTGGGATTCAACGCGTAGCCCGACGTAAAGGTTAATCGCTTGCAATCTTAGACAAAATAAATGAATCAATATTTCTTGCTTTAAATCGTCCATCGCCATTGTATAACGTATGACCTGATGTATAACGTCATTGGCAATACCATTCCTAGGAGGAAGAGATGCAAACTACTCTCTTAATATAGACTTCCTTATAATAATATTAATTGCCATTTCGCAGTGACGTATTAAGCTGAATATATTATTGTGTAAGTATTTTGCACACCTGAATGTGCCCGATATTTGTCATTAAAATTCTGAATAATTTTATTGGCAACATTTCTGGTATCACGAAATCTCCAAATCCTTAGTTATTGTTCTCACCAACGAATTCGAATAGATTAAGAGTCGCCCATTTATTTCCATTGCATTGCTTGTCGCAAACATTACGCAGTTTAAATGGCTAATTTTACTGTCAATGCCTGCCGAAGTGACACATCAACACATCGGCGTACATTCTTTTCCCTGGTAGGGATATTCAAGTAGTATTCGTATTGGGTGTTCTTACGTAGAAGAAGGTAGAAATACTATCTGTGTGGCGATCTGAATTGGTCAGTTACTGTTAATAAACATTTAATAAGGCAAAGAAATGAAAGTAAATATTTACTTAGGATGCAGCATATAAACAATGCTACTTATTCTTAATTTTGCAAGGTGAACAATTCTAAATATCTCCATCAAACAGTAACAATGTCGGAATACCTGATATTGGAAATTGCATGAATTCTACTCGGTTTTCCTAATAGAAAAATATTAGAAAGTATTTTAATTAATAGTTTCTTTTTGGGCGTACTGAGCTTCCTAGTCTAGAGTCTCGTGTCCGTAAAATAAGATCGTAAAATTACTACTTACAACGTGGAAGAAAGGACCTCTCCTAAGAACTGTTAGATTCAAAATTAAAGTAGATAAGACTCAAAGTTAAAGTTTCAGTTGAACCTTTTCAGAATCCATCAATATTGTCTCCAGTAGGTACTTTTTATTTTTCAATGTTGTTGTTAGAACTCAAAAATACCTGACAACTGTCCAGGTAAAAGCTCAAGTTTTAGGTGCATGGCCTTTCGCAAGTCCCATAACTATAACATATTAACACCTATCGATCGATTAAGCAGATTAAACGATCTTTAGCATGAAAAGAAACTTTCACCATATTTGACAATTGTCTGGAGCAATGGAACCCACGCACTGTTATTTGTTTTGTGAAGTGTCAACAACTTACTGTCAATGTAGCGGCTTGAGCCTGATCGACTTGTAGTATGATCTTTCATCATGACTACAGATTATGAGGTTTTGGAGACAAACAAGTTATGGACTTGCACCTTCTACTCATCTAACCTCTAGTCGGAATTCGTTAGTTCTGATCAAAAGCCACGCGTCTGTAACCGCTTTTGCTCAAGTTGGCTTATTTTGTTGTTGCTTTTGCTTTTCTATCGAAACAAGTGACATGCAACTGGCAGTCTCGTTTTATGGTTAATAAAGTCACGTACTAGGCCCCTGATATTTAATAGGCAGCCTTGTCTAGTAAATGTCCTATAACACTCGACAACCACGCATTTTTATAAAGAAAGCGTTCTAATAAAAGCTAAATGTGACCTAAATAAAGGTCATTTGGATAACCAGTTTAAAAATTCGAATATAGTTGTAGTCGCCGTTCTTGGCGGATCAAAGTAAGACTGCCAGTATCCCTTTATTTTTGTTCGGTAAGCTCAAAGACATACATACGATTTTTAGTTTTGTGTCTCCGTCTCGAAAACTTTGTCGTTTCGTATGAGTGCCCTTTAATCATATTTGTCAGGGTGACAACTTACTTGACATCGGAGTGCAATTTGAGCTGTCCTTTTATCAATCTTCAATATAAAATTGTACAATGTCCGGAAATACGATCAATGGAGTAGGCTGGCAGCTCGTGCTAAATTTTTTAGAGTATTTCCAGGAAGTGAATGAAAACAGCGGTCCCCTGTTACCCACTTTATGCATACTGGAGAGAGTAGCAAATACTCTGAAGATTCGTCTGCGTGGTGTTCAGCGATTAAAACCAGAAAATAAGAATGGCTTGCCCATAGTAACACCTGGGGAAACTCACACAATCAAAAAATGCAAGACCGATAATGTGAGTGATTTCATCAAAACACAAATAAGGAATACTTTTTACGATATTAGAAATAAGGGACAACATATCGCTACCTCTGCGCTTAATCAGGAGCTTAAAAAAAAGGTACATATACCACTCCTCGGATTCAAGTTCAAGGCATCTATTGGAGACTTGCGGTTTTTCCTACAAGACATTATATGAATAACCTGAATAGTACAAGCCCTTTCCAATGCATTTTCTTAGATGAAATGTGGATATTTGCCAAAGGGTCATTTAAACGAGTTTGGCAAAATAAAAACGTAGAAAGTTTAAAAACCGAAAATCAGGGTACCAACAAGCAGTTCTCCATGCTGGGACCAAAAACGGTTTTTTGGGAGCTACTGCATTGTTATTTGCTACAAAATCTAAAAGTGCTGACTACCACGATTCCATGGACAAAGATTCTTTAAAAAAAAAAGAATGGGTATGTGAGAGGCTGGTACCAGCGTTACAAGAGCCATCTTTTGTAAACATGGATAATACCTCGTAGTGCCTTAACAGAAGCAATGCCCAATTTCAGTTGGCGTAAAATACAATTGAAGCAATGACTGGAAGACAAAGAGATACTTTTTGATGATGACGCTTTAAAACTCAAGCTTTTAACTCTATGTCGCCTTAATGAACCATCGGCTCTAAGATATATCGTAGACGAAATATTACATGAACACGGACATCAAGTTTTGCGGCTCCCCTCTTACCATTGTCAATACTGCCCTATTGAGTTAGTCTAGGAAATAGCCAAACAGTACTATGATTGTCATATTGGAGAAAATGACTATGGTGACAAGGAAGTTTTGAGGGTTGGGGATGATGCTCTAGCTAAGGTGACTCCTACAGTTTGGGTCAAGTGTGTGAAACATACCGAGGACTTGATTAAAAACGGCAGGGACAGGCATCAAGTATTTAGTAGGGAGAAGGCTAATCTCATTCAGTTGAGAAAAAGTTCAGATGACTCTGATGAAGAAGTCCAATGATTCATACTTTTATTGAAACAATTAGGAAAATCTATAATTCTTAATTTTCTATGTGTGCACATTGATGTAGGCTGTTAAATATTTTGATAGATATGGAAGTTACAAGCTTAATGTTTATTAAGGCGACATAGATTTAAAAGCTCGAGTTCAAGAGTATCATCATCAGAATGTATTTTTTGTCTAGCAGTAATTTATTTAGTCGCATTGCACTCCAGGAAGGATTGAGTGTTGTTATTGTTGAAGATGATTCTTCTAAAGCTCTCATAAGCTTGTCACATGTCCACATTCAACGCTAAATGCTCCATCAAGTTAGCAAAGACGTGTTATTTTGTATTATATTGTAACTTCCGTATGTATTTTCTATTTCAACTGTAAAAAACAACAAATGGCGTGCCATACTCTACCCATGTTTATGTACTAGATTAGAAGATTTTCGAAAATTACGATCAGTAAATAATTTTGAATCGGTTTCCCTCAGCTAGGAAAATTAAGATTCGCCCATGGTACGAAGACTCGATCTGTTTACTTAATTCATATGGCGTTGATGATGTAACCGCCAACTACAACTATAGTAACGACCATTTTCGACATTCTAAATCAGAGTGTATTTTCATACATGAGGTCATACGTGGTCTACTCAGTCTGAACGTCTGAAAATTTCACAAACCCCGAAATCTTGGTATCTATGCATTTCTTGAACAAATGCTCCAACAAAGGTTTCAGGATATCAAAGAAGGGTGTCAACGTCTTCAAATGTGGCTTATACTAAGAAGGCGGAATCCAAACGATACTTTGATTATTAAAAAGCCCGATTTAAGGAAAATGTACGTATTTCACAATTAAAATCTAGCTAGATCAATCAATCAGTATGTTTATGGCCGTATCGTCAGTCGTTCCTACAATTGTAGGATGACTTTATAGCCTCCTTGAGTCTCATAGTCTTCTCTCTCCTTCAGAAAAGCTGGCATATTTCTAGATTTCGCATGTTCCGTGTCAGCGTCAGCGCTCTCCTATTGTGAGAATTGTAGGAAATTTCAGGCTGATATAACATATGAATAATTTGATGCAAATAGATTGTAACATAACCTCAAAAAAGAGCGCTGACACGGAATAGTATAAAACTATGAAGATCAAAGAGGCCATAAGGGCATCCTGCAATTATTGTAAGAACGACTGACGATACGACCCTTAGTGTTTTTTACTTAATGTAAGAGCTCTACTAACTTCGCGAATCATACCAAACGGTCTAGAAATAAACAAAAATGACCGCTATCTGACAACTAACGGACAACATACCTAACCTACAATTTGATAACATATAAAAGACTCAACCTGTGATCTAACTTACAATACAGGGTGTTACAGTATGTTGCATATATTAAGTCGTAAATGAAAAGGGTTCTTCGGTGCAAAGTGCATATCCAATAGTTTCTAAAATAGAGATCTTCGGTTGAGGTATTCATATGCTGTTGCAGGTGTTCATACTAGACATATTGATAGTTATTCACTTTATCATTATATTCATACAACAAGAGCTTGATTCCCGCCCTTGATTTGTTTTAAACACAACGAATCATCAACCCTGACTTTTAATCCTCTACCTGTCATTGAATCTTCAGCGAATCCTCATGATTTTCTACATCGATATGTGGGTCATTGTGAATACTTAATTTGCAAAACGTAAACAAATGTTGCACAATAACAGGTATCAAGCTTTCCAATTTTGATCATCATCTGGGAATTATTGATATTGTAACCTTCGAGCTACAGGTATGGATATTACTTTGTGAGGTCTTAGGATACCGCATTCTCGGAATTGAATTAGTTGGAATCGAGTTAGATATATGTGTCTAATGATAATAATGAACGTCGTAACAATAAGTTATAAATGGCCGAAGCGTAGCCGCAGCTAAAAAATATGTTTTTATTATAAGCATAACGGCGGCAATTCCATAATGCTTTTTTTAAGAATCAAGGCAAAGACTGAATACCGCGTCTACAAAGAAAAACGAGTGAAACTTCTTAGTATGCGTTCTGGACTGGCTTAGATTATACGAGGGCCATTTTTAGCGTCAGAATCGGTTGAACATCGTGAAAGCACATCCTGTCACGTGACACTTGTTCAACCTCAAACACTCTTGAATGGTCCATCCACATTACACCCCTGGCTTAGTACCATCAGACTCATATTTTCCCAAAACTTAAGGACTCTCTTGGCGGAAAGCGCTTGGAAAATGTTGGCATGTTGAAAGAAGTACATCTTGATATTATGATGACTGAACACATAAGACCATTGATAGGGATTGATCAGGCAAGTTGAGTCGTTGCCTCCCTTATTCCGCATCATCCTTTTCTCTTTGTAGATCCTTTTGCCTTGAAGTTCGACAGCGAGTGGCTATAACCGGCCGCGTGGTTGTGGTTAGATGTCGCCTTGACAATTCGAGGGCTTCTAGCCATTTTATATTACATGGTGTGAGTTGACTCTTGTTTGTGAGTTCGTGTGTCATTTTCTTTTTCTCTCCATCTTTGTTTCCTCAGGTTACACCCTATCCGGATGTATGGCCATGTGTATCTAATTTTGTAGTTGCATATGAGCATTCATTTCGGAACTGATGAAGCCAACAAGCAGAAATACGTATCTCTCGGGTTACCTATCCTATTTTCAGCTCTAATTCTCTTTCCGTCTTTTTTCGGAATTTGCTTATTATTTTTCTATTTGCTATATACATATAACGTATATATATAGAAAATATGAGTTATCTGTTACGTACTACCCAGAGATGATTCCAAATTCTTTTTAAACCGTTATGCATGTGATTCTTTCTTTTTTATTTCAGTCTTAAGTAACCCCCACGGTGGCGGAGGACACAGTGCCAACCAGACCAACTACGACTTGTGTGGTGCTAACTTCTGTGTGAGTACAATCAACAACAACGAAAACCTGGAAAGGCCTGACGATAAGGAGATCTACGAAATATCTACCATCTACTTAGCCTGCATTGTCACTGCTGTTATCATTGTTGCGGTTGTCGTTGATCCTTTGACTAGGTAAGTTACATTTGATATTTAATTTCGATGTTACTATACTACAACTGGTAACCCGGAAAAATGAAAAACTTATAGTTTCTTTCTTGGTTTTTTGGTGGGTCACACTAAAAATACCGGCATTACTTTTATACATCCATCTTCCGCACACATATGCAATATGTCTCTGTGTGCGAAGCTTATTTGTGTAAGCTCAGACATACATTCTTAAGTGTCGTCTCCCATCTCAAAAATGTTCTCGCCGAGTATTTCTAAGAGATCGTCAGTCGTTTCTATAATTTTAGGATGCCTTCATAGTATTTCCTGTCCTTCAGAAAGGCATATTATATCTAGATTTTTACTGTTCCGTCAATTTTGATGTTATGTTACAAATATCTATTTGCATCTAATTGTTCATGCTTTTAATTTATATCATCTGTTTTATCAGCCTGAAATTTTTTGCAGTCAAAAAAGGAAACATAACCTCGCAATATGAGAACGCTTACGCTCTCACGGAGCAGTAGAGATTTAGAAATACTTCTGGAGGAGAGAAAACACTATGAAACTCAAGGGGGACATTAAGGCGTCCAACATATTGCAGGCACGATTAACGATACGGCCCTAATATAGGCTACAAAACCAAAACAAACGTAAAGAATTGCTAGTTTTTGCCAAAAATTTTGAGAAAGTAAATAAAAGCAATAGTCCTTTATTAACCAACTCATATCTGCAAGGGCAGCAGCGCTTAAGATTGGTTTGCCATTGTGCAATTTTTCTATAGGGCTTCAGCTTCGCACATGGTTCAGTTAGTCGATTTGCTTACTTATTTCGTGTAGCATTGATGACGTAACTGCCAAAACCGCGAAAAGGACACTTTATCTAGTCTTGATCATCCGTATTTCACAAATCAAGTCGATTATTTATTAAATAGCTTTTGAAAAAGAAGAGGCCTAACTAGCGTACTCAGAACGCTGTCGCGCCATGAAAACAATCCAAATCTAGTGCCACTAAAAAGCAATGTGAATGAGTTCGTTGATGAACAGATTCATTAATCTCGTTTCGGATTTGTAGTACCATAATTCAGGTACCCATTTGTCTGTGAAAAATAATAGTGGAGCTGTTAAAAGTTACATAACTGAGAACAATATGTATGTATGTGCGCTCGATTGCATATCATTATGGAAAATAATACCCATATATTTCGATATTATTGAGGTCGCGTTGCTCATGTGTTTTCGCACACCATTATGTGAATTTGTGCGGTTTTCCACATGTAAATACATCGCAGATTTTGCTAGAAATTATGCAAAAACCAGCATAATATGCAATAAAACTAGAGCTATAACCCATATCACTGGGTTTACTTAAATCGACTAAAGATGGTGCTGAGATCGAGAATATGTTGAATCGTCAAGTGAACAGGGACCTTTTAGAATACCTTTTTTCATAGTCTTATTTCAGCATAACTTCCAAACCAGATCTTTGTGACAAAATAGGCTCTAGAGTTGAAGTGATCATTTTCGAGTTCCCAACAGTATATCTCTCTTCGAAATTTGTCAAACTCGCTTCAGCGATTGCTGATGTTCGCACCAACAACAAGAGATCGACATATAGGGACAGGCCGACTAAAAGAGATCTGAAGGATACTAGCGTCATCTGTAAGACAGTTGCAGAACACAAAAATCAATTCAGAAGTCTATTTTGGAAAGAGATAGTTTTTGGTTTAGCTACTGTGTCATAGATGGAGGCAGTATCTTTCCCAAACAAATCGATTAGATGTGAGCGAGCCTATATGTTTACGTTGCATTGTTGTTGCGTAATTTTAATGCATCCTTTTGACTCATTTATCTACCATTGCCTACCAAAGTGACAACATCGTATCCAGGTCATAATAGTACTTACCGGTGGAAAGACCTATCGTCGTTAGACTTGTACGTTCTTTGCAGATGATACAAGACAGATCATGTCCTAAAATCGTCTAACTCCACAATTATCTGCAAATACTCGCACTTCCAAAAAACTAAAAATGCGAATTTAATAACAGAACTGTCCAAATAATTATCTTATGTCAGGTGCATTCGAAGTATGCACTTTAATATGCTGACCACAGACTAAAATTTTGGAGACAAACAAATCATAGGCTTGCTCCTTCTACCTAGGTAGAAGTCGTTGCTTCCTCAGAATCGCATGATTACCAAAATTCTAAAATGTTTGCGATTATAAAGGGTGATTTTTTAAGAGGTATAGGATTTGATTTTCAAAAAAAAACACAATAAATTTGAAAAAACGATTAAATCTTTATTTGAGTCGATAGAACGGTCGATATAATTTGATTTTAAAGATTGGCACCGTCTTGTTGAAACCACATGTCAGCCACGTCCAGCTCTTCCATTTTGGATAAAAAAAGTTTGTTATCATCGCACGGTAGCGCTCGCCATTCACCGTTACGTTCCGGCCATAGTCGTCTTTGAAGAAGTATGGCCCGATGATGCCACCGACCCATAATCCACACCAAACAGTGATTTTTTCGGGATGCATTGGTAGCTCTTGCAATGCTTCTGGCTGGTCTTCACTCCAGATGCGGCAATTTTGCTTGTTAACGTACCCATTCAACCGGAAATGAGCTTCGTCGCTGAACACAATTTTTCGATAAAAATGTGGATCTTCCTCCAACTTTTCCAGCGCCCATTCACCAAATTGGAAACGTTGTGGGAGGTCGTGTGGCTTCAATTCTTGCACCAGCTGTATCTTATAAAGTTTTACACCCAAATCCTGTCGCAAAATTTCCCACGTAGTGGAGTAACAGAGGCCCAATTGCTGCGAACGGCGGCGAATCGACATTTCACGGTCATCACTAACACTGGCGGATACAGCCGCAATATTTTCTTCAGTCCTCACACTACGTCTGTGTATTGGTGGTTTAATGTCCAATAATGTAAACTGGGTTCGAAATTTAGTCACAAGCTTCCGATTAGCTCCCTCAGTAGGCCGACCAAATTGCCCAAAAATTGGAAGCAGTGCTCGATGCACTCTCTTAACCGAGCATGAATTTTGATAGTAAAATTCAATAATTTACAAGCGTTGTTCGTTCGTAAGTCGATTCATGGTTAAATTATAGACCAAACTGAACAAGTTTGACAATGACACAAGACACGATTCACGCGTCATCTGTCAAAAACAGTGTTGCCAAAAAGATACTAGCAAAAAAAATCACCCATTATTATTTCCCTTGTCATATTACGATAATAAAAATTAATAAAATGTAAGTAGACTAGTTTTTGGAATGCACCCAAATCGAGAAATATGCAGAGTTCTGCTTTTGGAGTCTTTGTGTTTACTGATTTAACGTTTTTTTTATATCGTCGTATTTTCATGTTTGTGAACCAAGCCTTCAGGATGCTATGATCAGACTACTCCTAATCCAGCAGCTTAAGTATGATTTTCTGACCAACCTCAAACGAGACGAAAACATCACACGACGATAAGTGACCTGCACAAATTTTCCTTCAAGGCGAATTAATTTATATGCAACTCACTCATTATCTTGAGTCGTTATAACGTCCATGGAAATATTAGGCCGTCGACTTGGTAACGAGCGAAATCTTCCAATTGCTCAATTTAAAACGGCCTTTCAAGACGCACTTTAATTGTCTCTAATATTTGTTAATATACAGAACGATAACCTCTTTTCAGTGGCTTCAGTTTATGTGTAAACTTGGATCCAGTTTGAACCGGCTCGAAACTGTATGTTTACAAACAACCAATTTTACAAAGTAGCCCACGCGCTGTGTGATTTTGAATACGGAAGGTCGCTTGAATTAGAAACTTACTAGTCATATCCGTCTACTGAACAGGATTTTTGCCTACATAATACATATATTACAACGTAACGTAACTGGTCAGAAATAAGGTGTGTTTTTTATTCCATCAGCAATATAAGGCTTCGTGTAACCGTTGATTGATTTATCCTATCCTGAAGATTTCCAACCATTCCGGCATTCAAAAAAGGACGTTAAAGATACTAGTACCATCTGTGAGACATAAATTGAACACAGACATTAATCTAAGGTTTTATTTTAAAAAGAGACAGAGCGTTTCTGCCAATGTCTCATTGACGGCGCAGGATCTTCAATCTCCTACTGGCTAGGAAGCATTGTAATCGCGGAAAATTTGGAAAATGAAATATAGTGTCTTTTCGATGTCATATGACATGTACATCACGAAAAAAAAATTTCACTCAATTCCGAGATCATTTCCATCGGTCTGTCTAGCCGGTAATCCTTAGCCCGTCTATAACTAGGAAAATACTGGTCGGATTTTGGAAAAATTGTCACACAAGCTTACTACTGTGCACAGGACGAAAAGGCTTTGTAGTATTTGAAAATCGGTCCAGTAGCTGCGGAACAAAAAGGTCACAAAGACCGGAAAACAAAAATCCCACAAACTTCGTTTTTTGCCGTTTTAGATCAGCATTGAAAAAAATTGTTGAAACTAGAACGATAGAAAGATGTCTCTGACAACTGTCCCTGCGTCTGCATGATAGGCATGCCGGTGCTCGAATGTGTCCTGCATGACTGGTGCAGTGTGACTCATCATGCTTACGGATATTGAGGAGAGGCGGCGGTACTAACCTGGTTGACAAACTTGAGGGTCTAAGTTCAACTTGCTGATTTTGTCCTTACAACCAAATACACCCAACCACAGACAGCTGTTTAGTAGTTTTTGGCAATTCATCAGCATGGTCCAAGATTGGTCTCTGGACAACGAACGAAGGTATAACAACTATCCTATATCCAGGATGGTATTTCGATAGGGTCTAATTTGTGCTGATCATAATGCGTTTTGACGCCGAAATCCAATTCATATTTAGCGATCTTAGAATACGTTAATCGATGGTGCAACCAAAGAAGAAGTATATCAAGAGTACACAGATGAGACGGACAAAATTCTAGAGAGATCAACTGACCAAGCCAATAGATGATTTTCCTATGACGTCAAGGATTTGTCAACATTTCGGCTGGAGG